TACTCCTCCTCCTCCTCCTCCTCCTCCTCCTCCTCCTCCTCCTCCTCCTCCTCCTCCTCCTCCTCCTCCTCCTCCTCCTCCTCCTCCGCCTCCTTGTCCCTCGCCGCGAGCCGTCCAGGCGCACAGTCTATGTGGGCGTGCGTGCGGAGGAAGCTGGCGCAGCCCCTCCGCCGCCCAGCGGCGGCCGCCCAGGGAGCGGTGCGCAGCTCGGGGATGGCCGATCCTCGGGAGGACGTTTTCGCTGGCTCTCGGAGGAGAGTTTCGTTGGTTCTTGGTGGTTTTGTCGCCTCGGGCTGCTTTCTCGATTCGCCCCCCCCCATGCCTGGAGATTCCCCCCCCCCCCCCCCGCCTGGGGAGGAGGACCAGAGGAGGACCAGAGGAGGACCGGCGTGGGAGAGGAGGACCCCAGAGGCGGTGCGAATCTGACTGACCCCCTCCCCCCACGATGCCGCAGGCCCGAGGTTCAACCCGATTTCCCCAGCAAGGCACCCCGATAACAGCCAAGGTGAGGAGTGGATTATGGACCAGACGACTCCACCCCTGATGATATCCACATTTCCCACAGGTACTAACGATGGGTTATTATTGATGATGCTTGTGATGATTATGCTGGTGATGTTGATGATGATGAGGCTGTTGCTGGTGATGATGTTGCTGCTGCTGCTGCTGCTGATGATGATGCTGCTGATGATGATGATGATGATGATGAGGAGGAGGAGGAGGAGGAGGAGGAGGAGGAGGATGGTGATGATGCTGCTTTCGCTGCTGCTGATGATGGTGGTGGTGCTGCTGATGATGATGATGCTGATGGTGATGGTGATGGTGATGATGAGGATGATGATGATGACGAAGTCCTTGATGCTGAATGGTGTCGTTGCTGCTCCTGCTGTTACTGTCGCTGCTGCTGTTGCTGCTGCTACTGCTGGGAGGGAGTGATGAGGATGATGGGCGTGATGAGTTGAAGGTATTTTTCGAGTACGCTGGAGAGCACTTCTGCCGTCCGAGCGGAGTGGCGCGAGAGCCGTACGCTGCAGCAGAGGCTGAGCAGCACCATGGCCACGAGAGCATGGACGCAACTGGCTGAGCAGCACCGTGGTCGCGAGAGCATGGCGCGCAACAGGCTGAGCAGCACCGTGACCCCGAAGGCTTGGATCGCAGGATGCTAGGCTCCATGTTCAGCGGGGCCGCGGTGGCAAATGCATAGCGGCGCGTGCTCTCGCACAGGCCCGCTTTGTAGGTTCGATCTTCTTGGGGAAGAATCTGCCGAACGCGGCAACGATGTCCTCGGGGTGTATGATACCTCTACGATTACCCTTCGGGTAACTCGGAGGTTGGGGGCTGGGGGGGGCGAAATACTCAACCGCTGGCAAATGATGATGACGATGCTGGCGACGCGCCCTGACGCGTGATGACGACGTTGCTCTGCGATGTGATGTCGCTATCGTCCCCGCGGTCGATCTCGCAACCAATGTCACAATCAGCCTCGCCGTCGATCTCATGTTTGATTTCATGATCCGTCCCACCCTATCGATCTTATTATCGATATAACTATCAGCTTCACTATCGGCACCACGGCGGGACACCCCTGGCAACCGCCCGCCCACCGCCGACGGAACACAGACGGGACACCAACGGGACACCAACGGAACGCCACAGGACACCACGGCGGAACACCCTGGGCCACCGCGCGCCCACCGGGGACGAAGGGGCGGTCCATTGCATCCGAGTCGCCCTAGCGACGGCGGGGTCCTTCCTCTTGCGCGCCCGCGCAGCTTCGCCTCGCCCGCACGCAGGGCGCGAATAGAGACCGAAACCGCTTTCAGGGTGGGGGGGCTAACACTCCCACTGCAATCTCACCCGCCAACCTCCGATTTTTGTATGGTTCGCCGCGGCACCACGGATTGCGAAGGCTACGCGGGCGGGACAGGGACACGTGGTATGCGAGTCAAGCGAAACGCTCCCTCAGTCCGGCTGGGAACTGCTAGTGGGCAGTGGGCAGTAGAATCCAGGATTCGTTGTTTTGCCTTGGGTGCCATGGAGTGTGCACAGCTATGGGGGGCAACAGTGGGATGTGCGTCTTGATTGCAGAAACGGCGTTCTGCGCTTCTGCGGGCTTGCGCGACCAAGATCGCGCGACGGGCGTCACGGCCTGCGCGCGCTGTCACGTCTGGCCCCTCAGACTGAGGAGCGCTGGAGTCGTCCTCGAGGAAGTTTTCGGCCATTTGGAAGCCCGGACGTGGATGGTGATCGGCATGGATTTCAAGACCACGCAAGAGCACTGGCGACTGGACCACCCGTTGGCCACAGCGGGCTCCTGTAGGCGGAACTCAAGATCCACGACCTCCACAGGGGTGCCGAGTACCACTCGAGACGGCAAGTAAGACCCCGTGAGAAAAATTCCATGCCCGCGTACACTGGGAGGGCGCCGTCGAGCTTGGCGGTCGCACCGATGTTGGGGCAGGCGCGCATGTCGTCGTAGTCCTTCTGGACGAAACTAGCGGAAGACCCGTCGATTGCTGGATGGTAGAAGAGGGCTTTGCGCGCGCTTGGCGTTCAGACGCGCGTGCACGTGCGTGGCGAACGACGCCCTGCGCCACTCGTAGGCGCACTCCTGCCAGCCCCGCGCGTCGCGGAGTCGAGGGTCATCCTCGTGGCAGACTGTGGTTTTGAGCCTGGCGCAGACGTCGCCCCTGATCTTTCCGCCGCACTTCGTCCGCACGGCCTCGAGGATGCGCAACAAAATCTGGGTCGAACCGCCTCGTGTTCACGAGCTCGAGCGCGTAGGGGGATGTCCAACAGGAGCCTCCGGGCTCGCCAGTGCTCGCTGCGCCTTCGGCCTCGCGCTTTTGCCCCCCCCGCCCACCTCGCCCGTCCAGGTGGGAATCCCCCTTTCTGGCCGAGGATCCTCGTTGCCTTAGCCGTAGCCGCCGTCGTCGTGGTCGTCGCTGCCTTCGTCGTCGTCGTCGTCGATGGCGTCGTCCTCGCCGTCTTGGTCGCCTTCGGCGTCGTCGTCGTTGTCGTCAAAGTAGTCGCCGTCGCCGTCGCCGTCGCCGTCGTCGTCGTCGCCGCAGTCGCCGCCGCCGTCGCCATCGTGGAACACCAGCGCGATGGGCCGCACAGTACTTTCACAATGCCCCCCCGCCCGGTCGTGCCCGCCCGCCCGCTTGGGATCTCCCGCCCGCCCTGGCCTGCTGTGTCCGCCTGCCGGACCTGCCCAGCATTCCCGCCCGGACGTGCCCGTTGGGTTCCGCCCGCCCGGCCCGCCCGGCAGGGTCGCCGTCGCCATCGCCCACCTCGTCTTAAGTCGGGCCTGTCCCCCTGCAGGGGGATTTTCGACGAAAAATTAAAGAATGCCCCAAAAATAATCACAAAATAGTCCAAAGATAGTTTGGGGACCTTTTTTAGTTTTTTTTATACCTTTTTGGCGTATTTTGGGGGTATGTTTGATTTTTCGTCGAAAATCCCCCTGTAGGGGGACACGCCCGACATAAACTTCGTCTTCGTTGTTGAAGCTTCCGTCGCCGTTGTCGTAGTTGCCCCCTTCGTCACAGTCGCCCTCTTCGTCATTGTCCTCGTCGCCCTCGCCGT